TGGCAGCATTTTGACACCCATCCCTTTTGCTTTTCTCAGCTGAAGTCAGGCAAAGTCAGGGATGGCGAGGCAAACCCAGATGGGGAGCCCAGGAAGCTCCAAACCAAAAGCCATTTCACACTTCCTTAGGAGCTGGGCAGCAAGAGGAGGGTCTGGCAGGACTGGATGTCCTACAAGACACCCCCAAAGGGGCAGGTTTGGGGTGATGCTGGATCCCCTGGGCACTGCAGCACCAGGCTCAGCTCAGCCCTGACTCCTCGGTGTGCTGGCCATTAACCACGCTGTGACTCCTGCACTCCTTGGGAGCCTGAATGAAACAGGAAAAACCTCTTTTTTGACTTAGCAAGGAAAGGGTTTGTGCCTTTTCCTTTTTGCTGAGAACAGCCCCTTTTCTTTTTGCCCAGACAAAACCAATGTTTCTTCTCACTAGGCTTTACTTGGAAACGCTGAGGATGTGTCACCCCCTCCAGAGAGTGACAGGCCAACAAGCAGAGCTCCTTTAACAGAGCACTGAGTTGTTGCTACACAGCCAATAAAAATCTATTGAGGTGGAATCAGCCACAAAACCGTGGCTCCTCTTTCTCTCCAGCTCCCTTCCCAGGCACTGGAAAGCTCCAATTCCTGCCCGTGGTGACAGACTGCAGCAGCAGCCAAAAGAGCACACGGGCATGGCTGCAGCCCCCACACCTGCCAGGAAATTTCCTCTCCTAGGAAAGCAGAAAAGTGATGGAGCAGAGCATCTCCCCTCAGCTCCCCAGGCTGCAAATACACCCTCAACTACAGCCACAGCTCTTCTTCATATCCTGCTTTAATTTATGGGTAATTAGCAGCTACCACTATTAATTATTTAAAGTTTGGACACTAAAAATTCTATGTGCCACACCTTGAAACTGTGATTGTTACTATTTCTTAGAAAATCCTTGGACAAACTATACAATTGGGATCAAGGGAAGGCCATAAAGGGGAGAAAAGAGGTCAAGTCTCTGAATGTTGGCACTCATATGAAGGGAAAAGTGGAAATTCAGGCTCTTGTCTGTCCTTTGGAACACAGCAGCAGGGAGTTTGAAGAATAAAAAGTGAATTTTTATCAGTTTTGCTGCTTCCCTTAGAAACTGTACACACAGAGCGTGGAACTTCTCAAGGCTGTGGCTTGCAAAGCCTTTTTGAGTAAGAAATCCTTTAATTCCCTAATTTTGATGAGTTGTCAGGGGTGTCTGCTCACTCAAATGAAGCCTTAAAACACTAACAGGGATAGATATTTCTAAGCAGGAAAAGAAGAAAAGAGTGCCCAACCTCCAGATTTTGCTGCACCTCCAGCAGGATCAGCCCATTTTCACTGTGTAGCTACAGGGGAGTGGTTATCAGTTACAGTCTCACAAAAATATTTAAAGTTTGGAAGTTTAATGAGGTTCTTTGGAGTGTACCAGAAGGAAAGCAGCACCTAGAACTTGCTGCAGGATTTCTGTCTGAATCCTTTTCTGATTTGTTTCTTTGTTTTAACAAAGAAACAATCCACACAACACAAAAATTAAACTTTTACCCCCTGTGAGGTGGTTACCAAAGCAGGGAGAGCACGATGAGTGATGAGAAGTCAGACTGCAAAGGGAGCAGGGGAACAGCATCCTCTGGGCACACCTGGGGAAGGGCAGCTGGAAAAGCTTCGTGGCACTGCCAGGTATCCTCTGGCACCTCTGCTCATGGCTGAGTCCCTGCCTGACCTGAGCCACAGCTTTAGCAGCTGCAGAAGCAGCAAAAGTTCAAATATTTCAGCAGAAAAGCTGGAGTTTTGCTTTGCAATCCTCAAGCCAGCTGAGGATTTGGATTTACTTCCAGTCATGAATAAATAAGGGCTGATCCTTACAGCCTAGCTGGTGGAAAAGACTTAGCAGCACCAGGTAAAAGAGAAAAAATTCCTTTCCAAAGCCAGAAATAAAGATGTTTTGGGCCTGGTGTATTCATTTACACACTTAAACCCAAACCCAACTCGTCCCCCTGCTCGCAACCTCTGCTGGCACTTAGGGAATGTAAATCCTGTGTGAAACAGAACATCCTGAACCTCCCCAGAATGAGGAACTCTCAGGCTGGGAGCTTGAGAGCAGCACAGAGCACTGCAAAAACACTGGGCAATTACTGAGTCTCTTCTGGGTAGGCTGGGTTTCATTAAAGCTGTCTGAAGATACTGTGCTGCTCTAAAAGGCTGTGGCAATGGGATATGGCTGAGAAGGGAAAGCTGCAGCATCAGCCTGACACTTTACAAATGCAGCCTTGAGTTCCACATGTAAACAAGCTCACTCACAAAAAGCAAACAGGATCACTGTGCACAATAATTACCACTCTAATCCACAGATTAACTCAACAGACAAAAAACCCAAAAAAACCCCAACAACAAAAGAAACCCCACACACAAAAAACCAAAATAAAACCAAAAAAATTCCCACAAAACCCCAATTTTTTCCCCACAGCCAACTCCTCCTCACACAATAAATTGGCTTTATGTGACCACAACTTAGAGGGATTTCAATGGCAGCCTTGGCATTGCAGGGAGCAAAGTGGGAAGGTTCTGAATGGTTGTTCTGAAGAAACCTGGAGCCTCCCCCTTCCCTACTCCAGCAACTCGCCCTTTACTATTTGTTTCAACAAGTTTACAATGAGTTTATGGCTCCTGGCAGCAGAACTTACAGAATAATAAAGCAGTATCAGGAGAACACCACCTCTGGCTGAGGGGAATAACACTGCTGGTAACACTTTTCTCCAGACAAATTAACTCTTCTAGTAATATTTACTTTGTATTAACTGCTCTGTGATCTGCTTTTTATGCAGAAAGACCCTGCTGTGCTTTTACGTCTGATATTTAAGACATATACTTCAATTATTATCTTAATTCCAATGAGTTATTTCAAGAAAAAATCAATCCTGATTTTTAATAGAGCTCATTCTTCCACTTTGGAACCAGTTTTTCTCTTTTTTTTTTAATTTTGAAGCCATGCAATGTCATAGCAACTTAAATTTCAAACAAAGCAAACACCTTCCTTAGCAGGAAGAGAGTACATTTATTTTCTATGTGCAAAACAATGCAAGTCCAGTTTTGCTTGGACAGAGTAAGTAGATAAGTTTTATATCTTAAGTTGTTTTGGCCAGCAAACTGTTAGTGCTACAAAAAGTTTGTCTGTGACACCATAAAGAAAGATGCTTCAAATAAATAACAGATTATTTAATTGACTCTTTCTTTGTGTGTGTGTTTGTGATTTTAAAAGGTTTGGAATGTGTATTTTCAACTTCTTATAGACAAGACTGTAAAACCAGAAAGAGAAAAGGCTAATTCTGATTATCCCTTCTAGTTTCATACTTTATTCCTGATTTAACCAAAATCAGGTAGGGAAATATGCCCCAAAATTGAAGAGTTTAAAACCCACTGCAACTTGGTTGCAAGCTGAGCTACACAATCTTGTTTATCTTCATTTTTAGAGATCTCTGAGAAGGGACGTGCTTAAAATGAATTCGTATGTGTTTCAAAATAACACCAACACAGGAATTCAGGTTATCCAGGGATGAGCACTAACAAAAACCCCACAAAACCATAGAAATATGAGAGTATAAAACTTTGTGCCCTCCATAGAATTGAACTAAACATTTCCTTCTTCTCTGGATAACTGGAGTTACCACCAATGGCCGAGTTGGGAATATTGTTGAAAAAAACCATATAAATACAGGGGGTTAATTGGCTAATGCTTGAGAAAAGATATTGCTCATTTATTCTACTAAAGCTTGGTTCTCATTATCCCAAAGCATCATAAGAGACTTTTGCTCCAATAAAATGAAGTTGTAGCATTAAGAGATGCCACCTGAGAAACTCTTGTTTATTCTGAAACATTGAAGTAGATAGATTTTGATGGAAGACGTTAGGTGTTCAGAATATGGACAATTTTAACAGAAAATAAAATTCCAGTTTTACCCAGAGAGTGCATATGTCTCTCATATTGTTCAGGTTCACTTAGTTTGGGGGATGTATTTCATTTTTAAATAAAACAGTATTATTTGCTGAAACAACTCATGAAGTTTAGTTTTATTGATGTAGCAAGAAAAAGATGCAGGCAGACAATAGCATGGCCCAAGGTTCAAGGAAATTATGTCAATGTAGAATTCTCCCTTCAAGGAGTTTTAATTCCTGATTCCTTAAAGTGCAGCTGTTGCTGTCCTGAACACAAAAGAGCCTCAGAATAAGGCTCTGTCTAAAAAATAAAATTAATGAGTCCTCAAGAAATTGTAGTAACCCAGAATTTTGTAACAGGCTTTGAATTGTGAAATCACTCAGAATTCAAACATTCCATCTCTCTGATTGGCTTTACACACACTACACTCTGCAAGGCACAAATGGGAGGCTACACTGCACTGTTTAAATATTTATAGTCAGAAAAAATACATCACCACAAAAGCAGATTATCTCTTGCAGACATCTGATTTTCTTCCCTTAGTCAAACTAGAAATCAGAGTCAGGGAGCCAGGAGAGAGTTAAAGTCTCCTGTTATTCTAGCTGAATAACTAACACTTACACAGTCCTTTAAAATATAATGAGATCCAGAAGCCAGGGTAATAGCTGAAACAAGGATGAAGATGCAGCTCTCAAACTCCTGAGGGAAGAAACATTTGGGGAAGGAAAAAAAAAAAAAAAAAAAGAAAAGGCAGAAAAGGAATATTGTAAATCATCTTTTTTTCACCTTTGCCTCCTCATTAGTATGGGTTGGAGGCTCTTTCCTCCAGCAGCAGGAGCCAAGCTCCCGAGCAAGTGGCACACTTTGTTCTATGTCCTTTCAGGGTATGGAATTCCTTTCCTTGTATCCTCTAAGAAAAGAGTTAAAAACTCTCATTCTGACTGTGGCTGGATAAGAAAGTTTCCAGCTGAACTCACATCCCTAAGTGCTATAGGGTTACGAGGTGTAAATGATCAAAACATTGCAAGTTAACGAACAGTCCGATCAAATATAAAGTTTTTGTGCACTTACTCCCAGAATTCCATCACTGGAGAAGTGGCATTTTGTAAAGAGACTTGACTGCAGTTGCTCATGTTAAGTTTTTGAAATTCCACACAGTTTTCTAGAAAAGAACAACAACAACAAAAAGGAGTTTGCTATGTTGACATGCAAGTACAGTTCTTGTTCATGTCCCAGTTTGTGCACCTTGGAAAGCCCCCAGTCTCCACCACATTTTCTGGGTGGGGTTCAAGGGTTTCTGCACACACTAAATGCCACAGCTGCTACTTCTGCAACACCAGCTTATGATAACCCAGAAAAACATCCATGAGGACTCTCCTACAACATTTCCCAAAGGCACAGGGCCAAAAAATCACCTCAGGCAGAAGAAAGAAATATTGAGAAACTGAGGCAATGGATTGGGAATTACAGTGGGCTCCTACTCCAGCTGCTGGTTTGATGGTTTATGGCTACAAACACCTTATGAAACATGGCCAGCCACAAACTCCCTTTTTCCTGGGAAGGCAAGTGGGTATTTCCTCTGGCTTATCATTATCATTATGATTATTATTATTATCTCTAACACAAAGGCCACAGCAGCTCAGCATCGTGGAGCGTTTGAGCAGGGATAATGCTGGCCAAGCTGCCAAAATCGATACCAAAGCCTTCCACATCCACTGGGCCCAAAATTTCCTCCCTGACAGAAACTAAGATTTCAGACAGCTTTAGGTGTGCTCAAAGAACACAATAAATGGCCAATTAGTGAAAACTATGAAAGACTAATGAGTACTTGATTTGAAATTGGACTGTATATACAGGATAAATGGTAAAACTTCAGGAATGTGGGAACAAGAGCACTGGGATGAGATCCTCCCCATGGATGTTTGGGATCTACAGACTCAATAAACAGAGAATTACAGATATAAATATCAATGAGAGGACAGATGCAGAGCCCTACCCTGCAAACCCTTCTGAATACACACCTCATCCTTCATGCAGGATGCTACTTTACATGCAGCAAGGATTATTTATGAGACTAAATTTCCAGAAGTGCCTTGATGAACATTATCCCTCAACATCTGGCATTTAAAAGAGCAAATCCAAAGATCCACATTTAATATTTTTTCCCTCTCCATTCAAACTCCTCCTGATTTCATTAGAGTGAAAGAGCAAGATTGCAACCTGTCATCAGGTCATTCTCTGCTGCAGAATTCACTCAGTGTGTTCAGGGAGAATAGATATGATTGCAAATGAGTCTTGGGATTTAGCCAGATCTTACAGAATTAACAAATCCATAGTCTTTTTCTGCTGACATTATATTCTAGAGGAGTAAATGTTTCTCAGTGACCTAACCCAAAAAGGTCCAAGGCAGTTTCACTCTAGTTTTCCTTTCTCTTGCTGGGATGAGATTGGCCCATTTCCACAGACTTTGCTACACCAATAGTTTTGCTCAGGACATTTCAATACTTTAATCAATCACTTGGGAGGGTTTTTATGGTGGTAATCTCGGCTGAGGTCATACCTGTGTTCCATTCATGGCCACAGGAAGCCCAGGGAAGCTCTGTAGTAAAGCAGTTGAACAAATAGAAGATAGCCCATGCTAAAATGATGATGTAATATACATTTAGGTGTGCCTCTATAACTTGGGTAGCATAGCCAATGCCTGGAGGAGTAAAATAAAAAGTGAGATACAAAAGAAAACTTCTACTTTTCAGGCTGTATTTAATTTAAAAACAAATGCTTACTCTTAATTGTATCTTAATTCCAATTTTGATACAATTTATTTCATTTTACTTCAAATTGAATGCTTTCTTTTGCAGTAAAACACAGAATTTTACCTTCAAAGAGAGGGCAAACTTTCCTCCAGCATGTGATGCCTCCTTCACTTGTAAACTGTCCCAAGGCTGTCTCCAAGAAAAATACTGGTATTCCACAGCAAATAAAAAAGACCACGTAGGGGATGAGGAAAGCACCTGTGGGTGAATATTGAGGGGGTGGTGGTTAGAATGAGCACAGGGAGGGATTTCCCAGTAAAGGAAGGATCGGCTGTGAGCCATCAGTGCAGTGCAGGAAGGGTTTACCCCTGCCCCAAATATCCAAAGTTAACCTGTAAGCCAGGGCCACGGACTAAAACAGACCAGATCAAAGTTCCTCAGCACAAAGTCAGCTCAGGAGTCTCTCAAACACAGAAAGGATCCCAGCCATGCTCAGCTCAGAGTTCTGCACCAGTCAGTCTGCAGCACCCTCCTTGTTTTTTCAGGGGTGGGGAAGTGTTACAGATATTAAATCTGAGAAATCCTTTTCATGGTATTTATAGGAGCCTGATAAGGATTGTGAAAAGGGAACGAGGGAACAAACTTCAGAACTACTTACAAGGGCAGGAAAGCAGGGCCTGGCCTTATCAGCCAGAAATTTTGATGTGAAATTCTAGGAAAATAACAAAGCATCACATTTTTGTTGGATGCCAACAGTAAACTCCAGCACAGGTAGCGAACCCCAGCAAAACCCAAACCCAGCATGCCCACACCCTGCAACAACTGTTGGGCTTCAGTCACCTGGGTTAGAAAGTGGAGACCGCTAAATCCACCTGCTCTGACTGGCAGCTTCTTTCATCTCATCACCAGCAGTCTCTTCCCTCAGCCAGGAAATTTCACTAGAGATCAATCCCAGATGCCTCAAGCAATCCATAGGGATTCCACAAAGGATGGAATACTTGCATGGCTTCTCTGGATAATTTACTGGCCAGTATCAAATCCAGCTTGGCCCTCTCATACACACAATCACAGCGAGTTTAACGCTGCAACTTGTGGAAATCCAAAGTATCAGCTTGGATTGTTTTTCCAACACTGTTCCAACAGGCACGCATCAGGGATATCAGAAAACATCAGGATTCCTGGCTTGCAAAAAGATCATATCCCAAAAAACACCTAATTCTAAACACACAAAGAAATTAATTTTCCTCAAACCCGGAACATCCACAACCTAAAATTATGGATGATTATTCCTACCCTCCCTGTTATGACTTGGAGTAAGTGCCAGAGAGGTCACACCTCACAAGTTCCAAACTACAGCTTCTAGATTCGTTCTGTAAAAAGCACTTTATTTCACAACTAGCTCAGATGTTTACCACTGTCTTCCCCTAGCACACACCAAGGAGTTGGATGCATCAGATTTAAGCACTAAAAACAAACTCTGGTCCAATTCCAGCAGGGGGTTACAAAGCCACAGGTCATAGACTGAGCCTTCATTGACTAAAACTGGTCAATGGCAAATGTCCCGTGGTGCCAGGACATGACCAATTAAATCACACCCACTTATTCCATTCTTAAAGAATACAGCAGTGACTAAATATGATATTTAAGTAATTTTTTTTTTCATCAAATCACCCAAAACAATGATTAAAATTCTTTCTACCCCATGTTACAGCCTTAAAAATGACAGCATCACCTTTTGACAAGCTGGCACACACCTACAAATGGGCACCTAAAGGTGGCTGTAGGAACCAAAAAATTACACATCAAAATATATATTCCTGTCATTTCCTGTGCCAAAAGTTCTCTGGGAACACTTTCAACAAGAAAGGCTTGTGTATATATGCAGCATGTTAATATTCAGGATTTGGTAGCAGCATTCTCTAAAGAGCTGAACTCTTGTTACCTAAGTTTGGCCAAAATACAGAGACGTGAAAAAGGAACTTCCAACGATAAACACAACTTGCACAGCAGGATTTGTCCTGTAGAAACTGCACACAAAAATGGGCTAAAATCCATCCCTGAGGTAGGATAAGGAGGGACAAGAAATGGAAATTTGGCACAGCAGACAAACCCATCGGAGAGCAGATCAGTGCTTATCAGCCCTGCACATCCTATTTTTCTTCCAGCCTCTGTGTTTACACTGCCACTGACTCAGGCCTTAAGTGGGGAGAATGTTGAACCCAGTCCACAGAATTCTAAACTGAGTTTGTAATCTACTTTTCTTTCTTCATTGCTGCCCCAGTCACAGCTGATGTGCTTATTCTCAGCTGTCATTTATCTTATACAGTTTATAGTTGGCTATAACCAATACATGCCAAACGTTATGCTCCTGCACAAGTTGAGTCTGCTCTTTTAACATTTATATTTTATATTTATTAGGCTTCCTCTCTTCTTTGAGTAACCTTCAGTTTTACATCTTACCCTACCTTGCTGCAGGAATTGGGGAAGTACTGAGAGAAAAAAAAAGAACACTGAGGTATAAAAAACTTCATGTGACAAAGAAAATAAATTCAGTCTTTATGGCATGATTAGAAAAAACAATATTCATCCTCTCCAAAGTACACTGTTGTGACAAATAAAGTCCTGCCTTCTTTTCTGTGTCAGACAAACTTAGTTAAGTATGCCTGGGTGTGTATTCACATGCAGAAGACAGTGTGTACTACTATAACAGAATGCTGGCTTCTCCTGCAAGAAAAACGCTACTAAAAAAAATATGTCAATTTACTAACGCAACAGAAACTTGTAAAAATAAACCACACACTGCTTGGAGAGAAGGAAAGAGGAACACAATGATTTTTCTTAGTTGTCAGATGTTTAATGCTTCCTTGGCTGCACATGCACTGAAACCCTGAACACGTATCTCTTACTAGTGCAATAAATCACTGCAAGACATTCTTAACTGTTCAATTCCCGTGTTTAATTCCCATGTAAATCCACACGTGGTGCCATCTTACCTCCTCCATTCTTGTAGCAAAGATATGGGAATCTCCAGACGTTTCCCAAGCCAATAATCTCCCCTGCCACAGAAAGCACAAATTCAACCTTATTGTTCCAGTGACCTCTTTCATGAACTTTCTTATCATTGCTGTGGACGAGGTTGGTACTTGAGGCTTCTGGGTCCAAAGCATCTTCTGGCTTTCCATTAATTATAGGAATAGTCTTTTCAGCTGTCATGACTTTTCAGCCTAGTGGAGAACAAAAGAAATACACACAGGTGTGTTAAGACACTGATCTTCGGCGACCGAAACCTCCCAGGGTGGCATTGGCTCCTCGTCACCTACGGAAATCTGCGGGTGAAAATGAGGGAGGCAACTCCTCAAGGCTGGGAAAGTTGTAAAGCAAGGGAAAAGGAAAAGAAAGAGGTGGGGGGAAGAGAGAAGGTTCTGTGCAAGGGAAGGAGTTATTCCAAGCGGAGACAGGTAACTTGCTAGCAGAGACGGAAGCCTTTCAAAAATCCCTCCCCAGGCAAGGATCCCAGGCTGCCTGACCTACCAGAGGACAGGGATGTGCCGCACCTCCCCGGCGCTCACCTGAGCCCGGGAGCGGCCGGGGACGTGCAGAAGGGCTGGAATGGCCGTGGCCTGCCTGGAGGAGCTCCGGGACTACTCACCCAGGGCTCTGCCCGTGCCTGCGAGCCGGGGACAGGGGCCGGGCTGTGCTGAGCGCTGCCCGCGGGCGGATGCTGCGGCTGGGGAGCGCGGGCAGGGCACGGCCGGCCGGGGAGGAGCGCTCGGGATCCCCGGGAGCCGGGAAGCCTCGTCCTGCCCTGCCGCTGCTGGCGGCCCGGCGTGCCTCGCAGGATGCTCCCCGCGCTCTGGAGCCGGGATTTGCAAATGCTCAGCCCTCCCCGGAGCGATGGTTTAACACCCGCCTCCCCCCTCCGCCCACCTCAGGCTGTCCCGCCAGCTCCCCCCTCCTCCTCCTCCTCCTCCTCCACCACCACCCAGCATCAGCAGCGAGCATCAGCAGCGAGCATCCCCGGGCTGCGCTCCCCGCCCCGCGGGCAGGGCCGAGGC